AGCACTTGGAAACTAGAACAACACTCCAATTTGTCTGTCATCTTGGTTTGAAAGTAATCTTTGTAATAGATCTCAATATATATTCATCCAAGTTTAACACATGGTGTACCACAAGGTTCTATCCTAGGTCCTCTACTGTTTTTAATTTACTTTAATGATCTTACACATTATTCTAAAACGACATTGTTACTATTATTTGTGACTAGTTCACAAGCACAAATCGGCGCCTTCAGTTAAATCACCTTCCTGCTTTTTCACACGGCCAAAAAAAAAAAAAAAAAAAAAAAAAAAAAAAAAACGTTTTTTTTTTTTTTTTTTTTTTTTAAATAAATCGTTTAACCGAAAACCGTCCGGTTTTGACAGGCGGTTAAACGGAATTGGAGATATCCGTGATGTTACAGCACTAGTACATACATGTACAATGTACAATCATTAAATCAGGGTTTTTGTTAATGTTGTGCAAGCAACAACAACTCAAATTCCCATGTATACAACATGTTCATGTACAGGTGAAAAAATGCATCACAGACAAGTTTGCATTTATAAAACAAATAACATACTGTACACCTGTAAATGTAAATTTACACATGTAACCATGCATGCTGCCAGGTGCTGTGGTCCAGTGGATAAGTCTACGGACTGTGAACCACAAGGTGCGGGTTCATATCCCTGCCACAGCACTTGCATACTTTGGCTATACGTTAATCTACACTCCACCCAGGTGAGGTAAATGGGTACCTGGTAGGATTATTCCTTGAAATGCACTGTGCACTGATAAGGGCTGCTGGAGCCACAGCTGGGGTAATATTTTCCACAGTTATTTGGAAGTACATACAGTGTACATGTGTACATGTAGGGGCGTTATAGTATAATGTGATATGCTCTATTAATCATATGAATATTGTTAATTTGTTATGCCATCCTTATTTGCCAAATTGTAGCAGGTTTTTTGAGGCAGTTTACTAGGTCATGTTTGAACAAGACTTTATGACAGGAAATTTACACTGCATGATGTATACCTTGATCAAAAGCTAACAAGTCTCAATAGTAGAGTACACATAGGCCTATTATGATTCTTTACAGTCCACAGTACACACATATTTATTGTTTGCAGCATATATTCTTGGCATTAACATTCAACTAGAAAACCTAGCTGGCTGTAAATTGTAATTTTCACTTTTAAAGATGAAGTTGAGTTCTGGTCATGCGATTGCATTGTGAAAGAAACGGTGTGGAATCGACCAGAAAAGGTTGATCATCTAGCATATAAGAATTTGTGTGTATTGCAAGGTTCTGGAATCATCAAAATGATAAGAAATTTGGCCAAGTCTTGGTAAAGTTACAAACACTGTACACTGAAAGATGTATATGGGACTACACGAACCGTGGCGAAAAAATCCTACCCGGATTCATGTCATATTTAGAATATGAAGGTATTTGAAGAGCCATGCTTTTCAGGGAACATGTTTAATCTGATGTTCTTCCACCCTTGCATAATAACAATGATAACGCTCACAAATTATTTTTTACCTCTTCCCAGAACTCAACCTTCTCTTTAAGCTGGCAGTCAAATTGCAAACAAACACAGATGTCGTGTTTGTAACTGGGGTATGGACCATTATACATTGTAGCACAATTTTACATTAATCATCCATAAATCATATGAACAGAGTATTGGATTGTCATTAAAGGTCGGCTGACATCCAAAAATAAGTTGATTCTTGTTGATGTGCTGGGCTGCATACAACTAGTCATATTATGTTATTCAAACATCAAAATATGTTTCATAGAATTTTAAATAGTTTTTTGTTTTCTCAGACCTGCTAAGCCCCACCTTTATAAAAAAAAAAAAAGATGTTCCAGATCTCATTCATCTTGTGCCATCATCTGTCAATCAATAGTGAGCTAACAAGAGACAGTGGTATGCATACATTGTAACTTCCCCCAGTTCAGCAAATGATTACAAAAGAATTCTCGCTACCCCAAATAGCGATTCTGCCGAGATCCGGGGAAAATCCTGAAAACGCGCATTGCATTATGGGATAGCTTTTCGACATTACAGCTTCCTGTGCAGGCGCTATATTACTAGGCGCGATAGCGCAAACGTAAAACGCCGTCGCCACACAACGTGTATGCACCGAATATGTCGTCTGCTCGGTCTTGTTTTTTTTTCGCAAATATTTCAACGTTTATTTGAACATTTCATTCGTTGTTTTTTGCGTCTTTTGACATCAGTGACGATGGTTTTCTTTTGTGAGGCTGCACAGTGCTGGGCTCATGATTACGCTCATGATGGCGTAAGCGCCAGCGGGATGGGACTCTATACCGGAAGTTGTAGTGACGACCCGAGAGAGTGAAAATTACCTCGTCTCGCGAATTTCGAGATTTTCGTACCTATTTAGGGTAGCGAGAATTGCATTCTTTCATACAATACCTCCACATTACCTTTCTTTTCCTGGTGTTGCTAAAGCACATCTGACATAGCAACCACTATGTTGGTATTGTATGATCTATTGTAAACAGGTGGTCAGCTACATACCACTGTCTCTTGTTGACTGACACAGGATATTGCAGGTACTGTACGGTTGCCTATGGTTTAATAACTATTAAAGGGAGGGACTATTGAACATTCACATTGTCTGCTGAGAGCCTGAAGACTCTCAATAACTAATCTAAATAAACCTTGTCTTGTGTTTGTAATATCTTTTTTTCTCTCTCCCTCTTTCCTTTTTAAATTTTTATCCTACACAATTTATCAAATTATAAACCATTTTAATATGTACAAAAGTATGTCATGTTCATTTATTTCATTTGACTGAATTCTTAGTGCCTTAAAAGGCAATCCAACCCTTAGAATAAGTTCATTTGAATGAAAGCAGAAAAATCAGAGAAATCAGAGAAAAAGAAAAGTCAGAAAGTTGGAAATAATCATACCAATACTAAGAAAGTTATGAATTTTTGAAATATGGGATCCTCACAGCTATCTGTACACATACAATGTACATGTACAGGTACATCTGTATGTGAATCTCAAATTGGCAAGTTTGTCAGTGGATTGTGACGCAATGACGGATAACTCTCCTGTTTGTTAAAAAAAAAAAAAATACACTAATTTCTGTTTTTCTTCCAATGCCCTCACCCTTGGGGCTTTACTCAAGGTCCTCTAAAAAGAAAATACTATCCATAGTCATACATTTATGATTTTTTTAAAGTCATTTTGGGTCTCAGGAAAAATAGAAAAGTTGTTCGCCACTAATCACAGACACATGACAGAAGCAGCTAATTTAAAGAGCCCATGGATACCTATAGTGATTGCAATTTAAACCAATTCTCATTTATTGTCTGATTTCATTCAAATTGTCACTAGTCTAATTTTCTGATATTTTCTGCTTTCCTCTAGAGTAGTTTGCTATCAACTTCATCAAGGTTGGATTCCCCTTTAATCATCAAAGTATTATTGACTGTTTGGTTTCATTGCTATAAATTACTTAGGCTTTGTGTACAGTATTACACTTTATACCTCATTGTATGGGTTTGTGTAATGTAGGCCTTACTGTTTCTGCATGGCCCTTCTGCATGGCCCTGTTGGAAAACAGTGTTTTAACCATTCAAGAGGCAACCCTGCTTAAATATGACCTGATAGATAATTGACAAAAATGCATCGCACTTTTCTTTCCTTTGAACTTACCAATCTCATTGATCACACCAACATATTTATGACTAGCCTACATGTGCACTATATATGCAAACTGTTATTGACTTTCCTACAAATGTAAATAAAACGTGAAGTTTTCTTGACAAAACGAGAGAAAAAGTCAGCATGTGTTCTACACAATATTGTTTCCATTCTGAATGAGGGAGTGTTTGCTGTCCTCCAAATGAGCACACTTACTGATCAAAGTTCAAAGGTCACATACTTCCCTATATATGTGTGCTTTGTCTGACTGGAGAGTTAAAAATATAACTGACGGAATTTGAAAATGTGTTTGTTTCTCTGAGCCTATTTTTCTACTGTCCTCAAAACTTCATTAAAAATAAACAGATAGCTTAATGGCTTTTATATAAGATTGACAGATATTACAAGGAAATCATAGTCCTTCATTTTGATATAGTATTTTGGGGGAATACGGTAGGCCTACCAATACCTGCAGAAAAGCTCGTAAGTATCCATTGCCTATGGCAATTGGGTGGTTCCTGAATCAAAGCCGAGAGAATTCAGTAGACAGGTCAAAGGGTTAAATTATGATTAAAAGTCAATACTGTCATGGAATTTTTCTTCTGTAGATGGTCTAATATATAGTATATGCCTTGGTTTTAAACTAGTTTAATGTTCATTGTTTCCTATCGGACACAATGTACCGTGTCCGAGCTGGTCTTTGGGCGTCCTATATAGCCGATAGGCCTTTTGCTCGCCAGCCACTGAATTCTTCAACATAAACAGTTTAACTTTTAAAAAATCCAATTTATCCAAATCTATATATTAAAAAAATTATATATATATATATATATAATTTTAAAGAGGAAAAAACCCTAAGAGAAGAGGCGTAAATATTCACTTATGAACGACAAACGCCTATAAACCGAAACAATAACAATTCATGTGAATCACAAACCTTGCTGCTTGCTAGATCTGCATCACTGAAATTAAAAATGTTGGTTGAAAAGTAATGATTGTGCTTATTGGAAAGGTTACATCCGGTGCAACATGCAAGATGCATGTCATCATCTGGTACATCTGTATAATTTATGTACACCACTCAGCTCAGCTCAGTTCGTGATCACAGTGGACACAGATTAAGATGGTATTTTCAAGACTCCAGTACTGTCCTACAAAGATCTGACTTCAAACTGGAACATTTCATTTCAATTCAATCGCAAAGCCTAAATACATGATCGCTGTGATGAATGAATGATCATTTATAATACTTAATAGATATGACCTGATTCGTTGGTATTTGCGAGGTCAGTGCATCCGCCATGTACAGTACGTGTGTACTTACCATATGAAATCCTTGCAATGACTACAAAATGTCGGCTGCTTGAAAAACCTCGGGATGAATTTGTGATTTTTGATCTCATACACGTTCTTCTGACGTAACGCTCCCCTCCTAGCGAATCCCTTCATCTCAAACGAAGAATCCGACATTATAAATCCACTGTCAAGGCGCAAATCCAGCAAAAATTATCCACTTTTTATAAATGAAAGTATGCTTCTACCCCTAACCGATTTTTTCGGCACATCCAATGGTCTTCAACACACACTTCGCTAATAAGTGGACTCCAATAGAGCGAGCGATGACTAGGAGCCTAGCGCCTCAGTGGTATGGCTGTACGTGCACATGTAAAGCACCTACGGAAAATGTGCGTGAGATCGCCAATAACGCGTTGAGTGTATACTGCACACTGTATCAATAGCTAGCTGACATGCAAGTTGCTGGTGGTGTGTTTCGGCCAGTGGGGCGCGCTAGCGAAGCGAATTTCTCGATTTTTAATAATTCCAATGAAACCGCTCGCGAAGAGTCTAGACTGGATCGGAATGCAAAAATATTTGGCAAAAATAGTCAACTGTGACTGATTGCCAAACAAAATCAAATCAAGAAAGAAAGAAGAAAGAAAGCTCGCTAGCGCTAGTGTGAATTTATATAAAGAACACTTGAATGAACCTGTTTGTATTTCTAATCTTTAAATATCAATATTATTCTGCATCAAATATAACATATTGACTTCTACTGCGGTAAATGTAAAGGAATGAACTTACTTTAACCAAGAAGGTGTACCATGGTATCACAAGTTTAACAAACACATCAACATATTAAGCCAGGGGTCTCGGTCATGAAGAAATACTGTAAGCATGCGTGTCCAAAGGTTTTCCAAACACCCCCCCCCCCCCCCCCCTAAACGAGGATTTCCCGAATTCTCACCCTAAACAAGCATTTCACAAAAGTGTACTCCTAAACAAGCAAGTTTTGTAAAATTGTAACCCCTTGAGAATTTTGAGCGGCGATAGGGATTACCATTGAAGTTGTTGACAATGCAGTAATTTATTTTAAAAATAAATCAAATTGCGTCTTCTGATGTAAAATTCACAATGTTAAAATGTATTTATTCTCTGAAGAAAAGAATTACATTTCAAATTTGATCTATTTTATATTAAGTACATGACACAAGAACAATGAACAGTTACTGATTCTAATATTAATAATGATAATAACTACATTTATAGGGTGCTTTATACAGGTGTTGGTAAGCGCACAGGTGGTGCTATCTAACTTAGTATAATTATTTTACATGTTCAATAGCTTAAAAGCAACAAAATGAAATAAAATATTACTAATACAATTCAGTTAAATTTATTTAACTACTTGTGTGCGCCTCCAGTATACTGCTGATTAAAAAGGTGGGTTTTGAGAAGAACAAATACAACATTGATGATGAAATAGTCCGGAACTTCAGAGACTTTAAACTAGAAGCATTTTCTATTTCAGAGGAAATTTTCGTGGTCTGGGTATGGTTTTATCGCATATAGTCCAAAAACGCCAGGCCAAAACACGACTTTCATCGTGCCTAGCATATATTTTTTTTGTATTTTTAGAAATTGAAAATTTGGCCAAAAGGGGCTTTATGGCCTGAGCCTAATTTTTTTAATTTGCATGAATTAGAATTCAATATAAATAGAATTAGATTTTATGAAGAAAACTTTACTGGTATTGAATATTAATAATAAAAAGGCCGCAGTGGGTACAGGTTAGGTTTTATTGAAATTGGGATGAAAAATCACGTGTTTTGTTAAGTATTTTGTTAAAGGTAAAGACCAGTATTGGCAACGCCCCAATTTCAAAAAATGAAATGGAAGCTCTCATTACCAATCATGTGAAAGAATATGTTTTGACTAATACATGATGATACAAAATTTGCCGGGAAACCGCCTACTAATTCATATATTTGGTAAATTTATTTCTCTCATGGTCTGGTGAGAGAGATAGGGTAGTCCCATATACATCTTTCTGTGTATAGTGCTTGTAACTTTACGAAGAATGGGCCAAATTTCTTATCATTTTGATGATTCCAGAACCTTGCAGATGCTAGATGCTAGATGATCAACCTTTTCTGATCGATTCCACAACGTTTCTTTCACAATGCAATCGCATGACCATTACTGGTCTTTACCTTTAACATTTTATAAGAAATGAAAAATTAGGCCAGGGGTAGGCTGGAGATACTTTTTCATGAATTAACATACTAAGACAGAATTTTAATTCATTCCAAACTTTTACTTTTAGAAAATATCTCTGTTCCCGGAATCCTGTCCCTGCATTGGAGGATATTACCCCCACCATTCTAATTTCCTTTTTTTATCTAATCCCTCGGTCTATTCCTAACCCTAATCCTGTGGTTATGGTGAGATATTCTAAAAGACAAAAAAGACCACCCACCCCCCCCCCCCTCCCCCCCCAAAAAAAAAAAAACACCCAAAACAAGAATTGCACCCTTTTGTAGCAAATGTCTGCACCCTCATATGCTCCCATTAGGGTGCGGTTATTGGTACCTTTATTTCTTAGTGTGTGTGGACTGTGGTCAGCAAGACTCAAGGCCAGATTCAGGTAAGCTTACCAATCCCACCACTCTGCGCTGGTGGACATGGCAGTACAATGGCCAAATATACTTTCCTATACTGTAATATTGTGATAAACGTTGTGTATCACTATTACTATTAACGTTAATACCCAGAAAGGATGGTGAATTCGGCTTCAATGCTGCCTTATGATCATTCAGTTCAAAATCAGCCCTAACCGGAAAAAATCATACGAAGTGTGTATTAAAAGTTATTAATTTATGATCTCGAGAATGTTCCCATTAGTAATCAAATACTAATATAAAATTAATGGCATACATTGCCTGAAATTGTACATGGGTAGAAAGCCCCCGAGAGAAAGCCTCGGGATTTTAGCTGACCCGGAAGCTGACACATCTTTACCGTTGTACATGACTAGATGCAGGCAGGGCGACAGAAACGTGACCGTATAGACCATATTGACCATATTGACCATATTGACCATATTGACCATACTGGCCATAATTGATGTTGTCGTAAACAAGCATGTCATATGCTGGTATGCGAAGCATATAGGGTCTTGTTCATGTGTTTTTACATTAGCAAGCTGACGTAAGCGAAAGTTATAGACAACCGGCCTCCCGGCCAATTTTCAATTCCAGAAAGAAAAAAAACGCGTACAATAGAATTTTGAAAACGTACCCTTTTTCTTGAAAATTGACTTTTTTAACCCTTAACGAGGCACCGCAAGGACCGCGTCCAATCTAAAAAAAACGTCACTGTGACGCGTTTTCTATTTAGTCATGCATGCTTACATTATTTGACTGAGACCACTGGGACCTCGGCATATTACCTAGATATCTCATCACCATAGCCATTGTAAAACTATATATTGATGATACATGTAAAATAAAGATTTAAAAAAAAAAATACTGCATGGAGATTGGTGTTGAAAAAGAAACAAGTACAAGTATATCGCCCGTAACAAGTTAAGAACATATGCCATTTTATAATTATGTTATGTCACTTATGATGGCATGGCCATTTTGATATGGTTTTTACCATGATAAGTGAAAAAAAATTATTCTTTTATTTTATGTAGACAACTATATCAGTTCTCCTTGTAGGGCCTACACGCATTACACATCAGGACTAACTTGATAAGGAGAAGGTTATTGATCTCGAATGTCGGGTGGCATTGATTGTGAGATAGTGCCCCCCCCCCAAGTGCCATTTTCCTTTTTAAGCAGTTCCCTTTCCCTTTCTAATAAGTTCCCTATTTCACCTCTGATATGTGCCCCCTCCCTTTTTTTTTTTTTACACGTGTCCCCTTTGCATTTCAAATAATTACTCTATCTCCTTCTGATAATTGCCCCTTTTCCCTTTAAAAAAAATATAAGCCCCTTCCCCTTTAAATGCTCCTTTTCACCTCTGATAAATGCCCTTATTAAAATCAGGCAGGCGCCCCTTTTCCTTCGACAGATGCCTCTTTTCCATTCTCATAAGTACCCTTTTTTCATCTCTGGTGAGTGCCCCTTTTCAGGTTCGAGGTATACTTTGACATGTGCTTCGTTTCTTTTCTAATAAGTTTCCTTTTTCTTTCTGAAAAGTACCCCTCTTCCTTTTTCCATAACTTACGCCCCTATTTATAAAGCGAACTAGAGCAAATTATTCATTTATTTACCCCAAAGGTAGCTCGCATTTATAATTAGTATAATTATGTTACTTATGAAATATGTTGTCACTCTTCGATGATTGTGTTTGAAACCAATCAGCATTTGTTGTTGTTTTTTCTCATTACAATTTTTTTTCACACTGCGACGTCACAAATCTTAACATTTTCTTATGTAACATTGTGGGTAATGCCAAGAAGTTGCTGGTAACATCTTGGTTATGCGTAATCTATCAAAATATCACATTAAAGATTTAAACATAATATTTTTCAAAACCAGTTTTTGAACATGTATTTGTGTGAACTTGTATAATGGTATCTTACTGAAGATGGTCAAAGAAGAAATACATTTAGACAAGGGAGGAGTTGAAAATGGAAAAAAGAAAGAAAGAGGCAAGGGACAGAGAAAGAGAGAGAGAGAGAGAGAGAGGGGGGGCAACGACAAGATAGGGATGGAGAGATAAGAGAGATGAGGGGGCAGAGAGAGAGAGAGAGATCAGGAGGACAGAAAAGAGTAGGGAGATAGAGAGAAAAAGTGAGAGAGAGAGAGAGAGAGAGAGAGAGAGAGAGAGAAAGAGAGAGAGGAAAGAGTTATGAGGGGAGAGAGAGAGAGAGAGGGAGAGAGAGAGAGAGAGAGAGGGGGGGGGGTGAGATCGAGAATGAGATGGAAGTCTTTTGGAAACGGTATGAGAATTGAAACAAGTTATTCATAATTGATACCATTTGAACACAACGCAAGATTCCGAGCACTTAGTTCCAAGAAGATATTAAACAAAAATTGCAGCTGAATATGAGAGCAGAAATCAAGGCAGCGAGCGTGAACATTCACACATGTACACACAACGCCTATCGACAAAACAATTTCAGTACTTTGTCATTATCAGTACACACAGCGTTTTAAATACAGTCTAGACTCTTCGCGAGCGGTTTCATCGGAATTAATCGAGAAATTCTACTCGCAAGCGTGTGAATAAAAAATACGCCAGCGGGGCGTACTCCGTGCCGCTTCCCGCGACCCAGGCTATCATGCTTGAATGGATAGGGTGATAATAATATCGGCACGCGCGAATGTTGATAGGCTGAGCATGAATGGAGAGCTATGTGAACTGCTTGCCGAATCTCGTGGCGACGGGATCGGGGTAATCCCCCTATATGCCTCCGTTTAGTTTAGGTGGATGGGAAAGTGGGCGTGG